CCCTCCCTTCATCACTCTGTCCCAGTGCGGTTTGGGTCAGTTGACCTTGCAGAAGTTCTTTCACATGTCCAACCACCTTGGCCACAGCAGGCAGCTCAGGCAAGGGCCGGTAAGACATGCTATGCATTCCATTTACTGGAGCTTGGGAGAGAAGGTGTCCTCTTTTGCTGGATTTGCTCGTGTTACCATATGATGCTTAGAAACTGCTGCCGCCACATTGCTATCCCAGGAGGAGATGACCTGTAGCTGAAGATGACGGGAAGAAGACAGAACTGCTGGATGAAGCTTGGTGACATATGATGAGTCCAGGATCCAGCTCTAACAGAAACTACTTCTAAAGTCTTCAGTTGAGACAGACAACTCCTTTTTATTTGATTTAAACCCACATGGGTTAGGCTTTCTGTAACCTGCAATGTGAATACTCTTAATATGTGTAACATGATCGTATCACATTTTACATGACTTGTTAGGTCTACAGAGATGCGGGTTGCAAAAAGCAAAGCAGGGAGAACTGTTCAGACATTGGCTGGTGATCTAGTTGGGAGATAATATTGACTGGGGTGGAGTATTAATTTAAGAAATACTTAGAATCAATGTTTAGGATACTTAGATATTTAGGATGTGAGAGAAAAGTTAAGAATGACTTCAAGATTTTCTAACTTGACCACCTGGACTGGTGTTACAATTCCCTGAGGTGAAACAAGACTAGATACAGTTTGCCTGTGAAATCTTCACATGAGATGCCAGATGGGGTGTTGGACAAAAATATAGGCCTGGAATTCAACAAGTAGGACCTGGCTGATACAGATTGCACGAGCACAGACTGCAAATTAAGTTATTTAGTGAGAAAGACAAAATACCAACATTTAAGGAACAGGCAAAGCAGGCAAAAAAGGAGCAGCCAGAGAGGTGAAAGGGAACTCACAGATGTGCAGTATCCTGGGAATAAGAAAGGATTGGTTTTAAGAAGGCCTGAGTGCACTGCGGTGGGAAAGACCAAGAGGGGAAGTCAGAGGGGCTCAGATGTTACTTGCAAACCTAGGAGTGTGGAGATCATTAGGGAGCGGAGAGTTGGATGTGGAATCCAGATTGCAGAGGGTTGAGGGTAAGCGAGGAATGAGTATATGTGTGAATGTTTGAGTGGGACGGGGAAGAGACGGGGGGGGGGGAGAGAAAGGGAAAGTAGAATCATCACGTGGGGAAAACTCTTTCAAGAGTTACTCCACTTCGCATTAAAACTTTCCAAAAACCCAGAGCTGAGTCATGCATCTTCTCGTTGCTAATTCTGACATATTTGGCACTCTTATTGTCTCATGTCTATAACTATCATAATATGCCATAGACTTTCAAATGTATATACATATCCAGGCTCTTTCCTAAACTCTACCCTTTAGTGTCCAGTCTATAATATAAATGGGCATCTCTCAGACTCAACATGTTCAAAATTGGCCTCCTGATCTTCCCCAAGCCCGTGCCTCCAGCCTCTTGATGACTTCAGCAATGGCACTCAATTCTTCCAGTTGCTAGGGCCAAAACGGGACTCTCTTGAGCCTTTTTCTCAAGGTGCTTACAACCTCTGTTAGCAAACTCCATTCATTCTGCCTTTAAAATATATCCAGATCTATTTCTTCAACTTCCACTGCCACCACTGACCTTTTACATGAATTACCATAATAGGTCTCCATACCTTGACCGTTGCTGCCTCTGCAGTCTATTCTCAATGTTAACAACCAGAGTGATCCTCAGGTGCAAGAACCTCAAGGACTTGGGATTCTTTCAAGAAGAAATCTCGAGGAGTGTATTCTCAGAAGCGGGAAAGAGGAAAATAAGGTTGAAGTCTCTTTTAAGAAGACAAATTACCCAATGTTCAAAGAGGGAGGAAGAGGCTAGGACCTTGAACCTAGACGAGTACAAAGGTGATATTTAAAAATTGGAAGGCCAAGTACTTTGGGCAGCAGCAGCACTAAAGTGACCACCAGAACCAGTCCAAGATAGGGACGTAGGAGCTGGGTGTGAGCGGGGCGTATCATGCAGAGCTGATGCTATTGTTTGGAGTCTTAATTTTCTTCAGAGCCCTCTGTAAAACTCCTTTGGGTCTCCCACTGCAGTAATTATACTGCCTGTAACCATAGATGAGCCTAGATATCTAGTGAGGGATCTGGAAGCCTCATGTCTGGCCGTGGCCCCTAAAGTTCAAGAGATGTTAGGCCAAACTGTACACTTTTCCTTGGTCCAATACTGCACTGTTTACCTGCAGACCCCTATTTAAAATGCATGCCTTCCTCTTTCCCAAGTCAGTTCTCATGCCAGATAAACCATGTGAAAAGGATGGCAACCTCTCTCTTGGACCACCTGGACATGAACTCCCTATGGACCATTTACAGGCATGACTGTCAGGCCAAAACAGAAAGAAGCCTTCACTCCAGTGGGTACAGGGCTTCCGGAGCCCCAGGGTTGGGTCTTGCATGTGAGGCGTCAGTGACCACAGTGGTACAGAACACTGTCTGCTGACAAATCCAGCTCATTCTTTGAAGCTGTTATGAGGAAGCAACCAGCATCAGGATGATGGTTTGATCAGAGAATCGGGGTGCCATACTGACCATACTTTTATCAACTATGTAAGATAATATTTCTCATTTATTTCATTCTTAGGACCCCGGTTGAAATTGCTAGTCTGGTTGCTTATGTTTTTGAAGCTGTTATGAGGAAACCTCATGAAAACAGTGAGGATGAAATTCCTTCGGGTTACTGTGTATACCTAGTGTGTGAATTTTTACTGTTGCACGGTCTTCTATAGTGTTAATGTAGTCTCTAATTCTAAGATTGTTGATGGACATTTTGGTTGTCCCCAGTGTGGAATAATTATAAACCATGCTGCAAAAATATTATCTTACATAGCTGATAAAAGTATGGACGGTATGGCACCCTGATTCTCTGATCAAACCACTGACACTGGTCCTTGAGGTCCTGTGTCACTTCTCTGATCTCATACCAACTGCTCTGTCCCTTGGTTATTCCATCCAGCCATGCCTGGTCCTCACCAAATGTGCCAGGCACCGTCCTCACAGGGCTTTTGCACTGGCTGTCCTTTCTTCCTGAAATGTTCCTCCCCAAGACCTTCACCAGGCTCCCTCTCTTGCCTCCTCTAAGTCTGTTTCCACGTCCCTCCATGAGACCCTGACCACACTGGTTAAAGTTCCAGTTTGGTTCCCTCTATCCTGTTTCACCTCTTCATAAATTACCACGTATACATCTTACATACAATGCATCTCATTGTTAGTGGTTCAGTTAATCTTTCTCCCCTGAACAGCAGCCCTAGAGACAGAGATCTTTCTTTGCTCACTGATATATCCTAAGGGGATGTATAGTTCTTAGAACAGTGCCTGGCACATAGTAGGATTTCAGTGAGTATTTATCAAAGAGAGGAACAGAGGAAGGATGGAGGGAGGGAGAGAGAAAAAAGAAAAACTTTTGCTCTGAGGAAGAAGAGATGCTAAGGTGGCAGAGAGAATCAGGGAAAGAGTGATCTACAATGAGGAAGGTGTGGACACGGTCACTGCTGAGGAAGGGAGCCCCTGCAGGCCGATGGTACAGGTGAACGGGCTGAACCGAGTTTCCGAGAATGTGGGGAGGAACGGGGTCCGGAGCTCGGGCAGCGGGAATAGCACTGGGCCAGTCTAAGGCCAAAAAGAAGAAACATTTCATCAAGTCCCCAGCTAGAGTGCACAGGACAAATTAAAAAATGTGCATGGGATTTGTATCGTTATGTAATAGTTGGCTCTTGAGGTTCTGGCCTCTTTTTGGATGGCTGAGCCTGGTACTATTTAACCATCCATCATCTGGAGTCTGTCCCCCCTCCCCTCAGGAGGAAATGAAAAAAGGACGGGTGCTGATGTACCTGTCAAAACTCATTCTTAGGACCCCAGTTGAGACTGCTAGTTTGGTAGCTTTTTAAAAAAAATTTTGTTTTGTTTTTCACAAAAGTGAGAGGTGACATCACTTAATTATACTGGTGGTCGCAGGCATTGCGGTGTTAGAATGGATAAGGTTGGATATTTTTATTAGGGAGAACGGGAGAATGGGAGAAATTGCTGCTACAGTAAAAGGTGGAGAAAGCTCATAGGGGATTAGAGAAGAGTTAGGCTGAGCCAACATCAACCGAGTGCGGTCATGGTTGTCAGAACCTACCCAGGTGTGCCTTCTGCTACAGTGGTGCTCTCAGCAGCCCAAATGGTAGATGATGACATCCAAGCTGGTGACAAAGGGAGCAGAGATACAAGGGAGCTGAAGAGAGTAAAACAGAGCATCCTACAGACTACAGCAGTGGTTATCAAAGTTTAGTAGATATGAGAATCACCTGGAAAGGGCCGGATTCTGAAATAATTATTAAGTAGGTCTCAGGTGAAGAGTAGAATACATTTTCAACATGGATCCTAGTTGATTATGATGGAAGAGGGCCACAGACCATTTTTTGAGAAATAATAGGTTCGAAATTACCAGTATATTGAGTTTAAAGAAGTGATATTTTGGGAGGGGGGAAGGAGAGAGAGGTACACAGATTGAACAAGAATACTGTAAGTAGGAGGATACAGTGTGAGATGACTAATTTATTATCGCCATGGTGGAACAGCCTAGGATAATGAAAGGTTCAGGGTGTAGCCAAGGGAGCGGGTGGCTGAGGTGGAGGTGACCATTGCCAGACATGAGGTTCAAAGTCCCCAAAGCCTAGGTAATCCGCGTGGACTTTGAAGCCATCCAGGTGATGGTGGTACTTGGCATAGAGGCCAAACTGTGAGCAGAACTCAGTCATTACTAAGTGAAGGAAGGAACTATGGGTGGGTAGATAAAGCCAAAATATGGAGTCGGGGGATGTAACTGGTGAAGAGTTTTTGCAGGTGGTAAAGAAGTAAAATTGGCTAACATTTGTTGAGTGTATGTTTTGCCAAGCTTTCCCATCATTCAGTCCATTTCATTCTTACACACAGTTCACAAACTTCATCTAAAGTAGGTGCTATTTTTTATTCCCCTTTTACGCTGATGACACTGAAGCACAGAGAGGTTAGGCATAAACCATAGTCTCACAGTTCTTATCCAAATGCTATATTGATTCTCATAAAATACTAGTGGGAGGTGTTTTAATACAGTTCAACTGAAAAAAAATCCCAATCTTCCGAATACTGTTAGGGATTAATCCATTTGGAAAATCAGTGGAAATATTTCTTTAAGTTTCATTTGTACTGAAATAGTAGTTTTGCACAGTTCAGTGAGTGGCAGTACTAATACCAATTCCACACTAGGTCATTTAACAGAAACATTAGAGCAGTTGGCATTTATCAAGACGTCTGTCTACTCCATGCCTTGAGGATTTCTTCAGCAGCATCCAGTGTACTGTCCTTCTGCAAATAAATGGAATAATCATTGTTACATATCAAAGTAAACCAAGATGAAGACTCAAATCTAAAAAATATGCCATAGTCCGTTGATCAGGAAGAGTCATGCAGTGATTTGGGAAACAAGTACTCTCCCACTCTTGGGACCCCAAACTGGGCCCAGCCTGACCTTGGCCTCCATGTATGACAGAGCCCCAGAGCATTCTTTAGGGGGCACACCTTCCCAGAAAACTGAGTCTCTGGAAGCCTTGTCCATATTAAGCCACAATCCGGGCAGGAGCACTGACAAAGCCTGGGAAACCAAGTCTGCAGGGCCTTCCCTTACTCTGGTAGCTGGGTACACAGGTCCCAAGCTCTTTAAGGAGCCCAGTAGCAAATCAAACAAACCAATTACTGTCACGCTTTATCCCATTGCTATCTGGCTAGAAAAGTGAATGAACCTCACGAGAATTCAATAGTAGAGGAACTAGAGAAGTGCAACGCCAATCACTGCCTCATACTATTTTATGATGCTGGCTGCCAGTTCTGGGCACTTTATTGCTACTATCCTGATAGCAAAGAGATCTACAACTTTTTTTATAGATTAAAAACATTAAACATTTTTCAGTTGCAGTTTACATTCAATATTATTTTGTATTAGTTTCAGGTGTACAACACAGTGGTTGGACAATCATATACAAAGTATACTCCTTGATACTGCAGTACCTACCTGGCACCAAACACAGTTGTTACAGTATTACTGATGTGTTTCCTGGACTGTACTGTTCATCCCCATGAGTATTTTGTAACTGCCAATCTGTACTTCTCAATCCCTTTACCTTTTTCACCCAGTCCCCAAACCACCCTCCCCTCTGGCAACCATCCCTCCATTCTCTGTATCTATGAATCTCTTTCTATTTTGTTTGTATACTCTGTTATTTAGATTTCACCTATAAGTGAAATCTATGGTATTTGTATTCCTGACTGACTTACTTCACTTAGCCTAATACCCTCTAAGTTCATCCTACTCTTGATATGTGATCTCAAGTAGAAAAGAACTTCCAAAGTACAAATGCAAAGGCAGGCCTCCAAAAAGAAAACAATCAAATTAATATATAAATACAGAAACAAATCAAAGAGTACCCATTACACTTCCATTCTCAATCTATGAAAGTGTCTTACAGAACTGAACAATCTGTTTTTTAATTTCCATTTTCTTGGCATGTTTTGTCATCCTTTCATTTTTAGTCTCTCCACCTGTGTCAACTTCCCCCAGGGACTTCTCAGCGCTGCCCCACTATTTTCTGATATCAAATGTTGGTGTGAAGGAGGTGAGTGCACACAGGTCCTCGTACCTGCCCCCATGAAGGCCTTGACCTTTCTGTCTAGATGCTAAAGAATTATTTCGTTACCTCTAAAGTCCAGCATATTAAGTAAGGTATATCTCAGTGTTAACTGTTCTGTGGCAGTTTTCCTCAGATAAGGCATTCCTTTTCAATTTTTAGATTTGTTTGTTTTTTGAAACAAACATTCTCAAAACAAAGCTATAAAATTCTTTCCTGGTTCCATTTGTTCTGCTTTTTTTTTAGTGACTACATATTTTATTTATCTTCCACACATAATTTTTCAAATATTTTAAAATTCTTTCTTCTTTTTTACTTCTTTTTGCTCACTCTTTTCTATCCCTAATGTGCTTACAGAGGTATTTAGTGTTCTTTGGGCTGTTTCCAATCTCAGCATAAATTATCAATAGCTTTATTTTTTTCCCTTGAATTTTTTATCTGAGCTCACACAGCTACCATTTCATTTTCTTATATTACCTTACTCTACCTTCCCCGAACTCTTCACATCTCTGGAGGAACCAGACTAGCACCAGAAAAGAACAGAAATTCTCCTACACTCACATGAAGTAGAGTTCTTTTAGGTTGTATTTCTTGTTAACTAAATAATTGGCTACTGCCAATTTAATGTTAGCTCTTCCACATTGTCTCAAAACAACTTTTAGCAAAAATGACAAGGATGAATAGACAAAATTTTTTAATATATATTATTATTATGCCATTACAGTTATTCTATTTCCCCCCTTCATTCCCCTCTACCCTGCACACCCCCTCCCCTACCATTCCCCCCTTTAGTTTATGACCACATGTCTCAAGTTCTTTAGATTCTGTATTTCCCATACTACTCTTGCCCTCCTCCCTATTTATTTTCAACCTACTGTCTATGCTACTTATTCTCTGTACCTTCTCCCCCCTTCTCCTTCTCCCACTCCCCTATTGCTAACCCTCCACGTGATCTTCATTTCTATTGTTCTGCTCCTGATCTAGCTGTCCTCTTAGTTTGCTTTTGTTTTGGGTGTGGTTGTTAATAACTGTGAGTTTGCTGTTCTTTCACTGTTCATGCTTTTTTATCTTCTTTTTCTTAGATAAGTCCCTTTAACATTTCATATAATAAGGGCTTGGTGATGATGAACTCCTTGAATTTGATCTTATCTGAGAAGCACTTTATCTGTCCTTCCATTCTAAATGAAAGCTTTACTGGATAGAGCAACCTTGGATGTACGTCTTTGGAGTTCATGACTTGGAATACTTCTTTCCAGCCCCTTCTTGCCTGTAAGGTCTCTTTTGAGAAATCCACTGACAGTCTGATGGGAACTCCTTTGTAGGTGACTGTCCCCTTAGCTCTTGCTGTTTCTAGGATTCTCTCCTTCATTTTAATCTTGGCTAATGTAATGATGATGTGCCTTGGTGTGTTCCTTCTTGGGTCCAACTTCTTTGGGACTCTCTGAGCTTCCTGGATTTCCTGAAAGTCTATTTCCTTTGCCAGATTGGGGAAGTTCTCCTTTATCATTTGTTCAAATAAGTTTTCCACTCGTGGCTGTTCCTCTTCCCCTTCTGGTACCCCTATAATTCGGATGTTGGAACGTTTTAAGATGTCCTGAAGGTTCCTAAGCCTCTCCTCATTTTTTTGAATTCTTGTTTTTTCATCCTTTTCTGTTTGGTCATTTTTTTCCCCTCTTTCTGGTCCACTCCTTTGATTTGAGTCCCAGTTTCCTTTCCATTACTATTGGTTTCCTGTGCATTTCCATTCATTTCAATTAGTTTAGCCTTCATATGTTCCTCTAATTTGTGACTAAAATCAACCAGTTCTGTGAGCATCCTGATCACCAGTGTTTTGAACTGTGCATCTGAAAGTTTGGCTATTTCTTCATTGCTTAGATTTATTGGCTCTGGGGCTCTGAGTTGTTCTTGAGCCATGTTTTGATCTGTTTATGTCTGTTACATATGAGGAGTGGAGCCTTAGGTGTTCACCAGGGTGGGGCCACCCAGGTCACTGGTTTGTGATGCTGTATGTGGGGGCAGAGTCAGACAGGGACAATGGCGGTCCCCTCTGCTGCTTCCTGCCGCTGGGGCCTGCACGGTCTGTCTCACGGCTCACTTCTTCACCAGTTTATCTGTGCTAGAATGTGTGACTGCGATCAGCCCTCAGTGAGTCCACTGCCTTGCGCCCTCAGTGGGTCTGCCCACTACTCCACACCTGGGATCCACCCACAGCTGCCTGTGCACCTGGGTTGCGTTCCCGGGTTGGTCCGGTGGATCTTTCCTGCCCGACCCCGCTCTGCTGCTGGCTCTGTCCCTCTTACAGGTTTGGCTGGAGGGTTCGTTGTTGTCAGACTTCTGTATAGTTCAATATTCTGTGGTTTGGCTGTGTTTTTGTTGCTAAAACTTTCTTGTTTTTAAACTTGGTTGTGTGAGAAGGAGCAGTGCTTCCACCTACGCCTCCATTTTGGCAGAAGTCCTGAATAGCCAAATTTATAACCCAATCAGAACCTCTTTTTCGCCCTCACATAGGTCCTTAGATGGCACACCTGTGTGTCTCCACCTCGCCTCCACCATGATGCCAGATGGGTCTGCAGAAGCTCTCATTGCCAGTGCACTTGCTGTTCCTACTCTTCTGAACAATGAGTACGCAACCTGAAGGCTCTGTCTGTAATTTGAAGATGTAGAAGGGGGAGCCTTTCTAGGTCTCTTCTCTCTACCATTACCAGTTGCCTGTTTTTGGCAACTCTTTATCATAATGAGGAATTTGTGAAGTTGTTTTGCATTGTTGTAGTTGTTTTTTAAAAATAATTTCCGTGCCCTGGCTGGTGTGGCTCAGTGGATTGAGTGACAGCCTGTGAACCAAAGGATCACTGGTTTAATACTCAGTCACAGCACATGCCTGGGTTGTGGGCCAGGTCTCCAGTAGGGGGAGCACGAGAGACAATTACACATTGATAATGTTTTTCTTCCTCACTTTCTTCCTCCTTTCCCCTCTCTCTAAAATAAATAAATAAAATCTTAAAGAAAATAAAGATGATTACCATGAAGAGAGAAAAGCTGTGTTTATCATTTTAAAACTGGAATGTGATTTTTTCTAATGTGATTTTTTCCTCCTATTAGTTCTATTGTATTCAAATAATATATCTCTATTTCTAGATACCACTGTAAGATGAGAATTTTAACAGCCTTACCCATTCTTGACTACATTTTAGTCAATTAAAATTCTGGGCTGGTCTATTTTTTGTTGTACCACTTTAAAGATGCCATTTCATTGTATTCTAGTCTCTGTTGTTTCCAATAAAAAGTTAGCTAACACTCTTATCTGCCCCTGTACACGTGAAGTATAACTATTCTTTGGCTGCTTTCAAAATTTTATCATTATATTTGGTTTTCAGCAGTTTGATTATAGTGTGTCTTGGTGTGGTTTGTTTTTTTTTTATAATCCTGTTGTGGTTCACTAAATTTTTAGATCTATAAGTTGCTTTACACCAAATTTGGGAAAATTTTGTCCATTATTTCTTAAAAGGTATTTTCTGCTATATTTTCTGTTCTTTTTCTTAGACTCTGATTACATGTACATTGTCATTTGATATTGTCTTGTAGGTCTGAGGCTCTATTCAGTTTTTACAAATAATTTTCCCTCTGTTCTTCCGATAGGATCTATATTCAAGTGGACCCCTTTTCACCATCATCTCCAGTGCTCTGTGTGTTAAGCCACACACATTTTCACATCAGTTATCACCTTTCAGTTCTCAAATTTTCACTTGATTTTTAAAGTAGTTTTAATCTACTCACTCATTATGACCATATTTTCCTTTAACTGCTTGAACCTATTTGTAATATCTGCTTCAAAGTCCTTTTCTGCTAATTTCTACATCTGAGTCATATGAGATCTGTTTCTACTGACTGCTTTCTTCCTACAATAAATGTCACAATTTCTTTTTTCAATCCTTACCCACCTGAGGATATTTTTTAAATTGATTTGACAGGAAGAGAGAGAGAGAGAAAGAGAAACACTGATTGATTGCCTATCACACGTCCTGACCAGGGGTCAAAATGACAAACTTTTTGATGTACAGGAAAATGCTCCAACCAATTGAGGCACTCAACCAGAATGGGTCACAATTTCTTGTATCTTCACATGTCTAGTAATTTTTGATTGCATGTCTGACATTGTTTTGTTACATGGTAAGAAGTCTGATTACATTGTAAACTCAACACTTGTTCTGCTAGGCAGTTAATATGGCAGCAAGACAAAATTTAAAAACTGCTTCTAAGCACATCATGTCTAGCAATAGAAAAAAATGGTGATTTATAAATAAGGAGGAAGAACATTATGTGTGTTTTTTAGTAGAACATAAAACTTACTTTAATGAAGCAAAATCGCACAAACTTCTCAAACTGTAATTTGGTCTCTTTGTTACAGAATGCTGAAACTGGGATGGCTGACAGTTTCTAAAAAGTAAACAGGAAGGTAAAATTAAAAAAGCTCTTATACTTCAAACACTAATTTTAGGACCATAAACATTAGAAAAAAATTGGTACTTCTAAGTATTCACAATTCTCCTGCCCTCAAAAATTATATTAAAATCTTCCAAATAGCCAAATGGGCTATCATGTAACAAAACAACAGTTAACACTATTCAAAGCATGTCAGCAGCTTTCCTTCATAAATTAACTATAAAATACAGCACAATGTTGTAAGAGCCAATAAACATTACCTTATGTTTAGTCATCCATTTCACAAATTTATAGTCATAAGGTTCATTGCTGTTCTTCATATCAGAGAGATCTGCATCTAAAACAATGAAAATTTGATAACCTACGCATTATATCTGAGGCAATACACATTTCATTTAAATTTGTCAAAATTCAGTTTTCTTAGAAGATATTAAAAAAAAAATCTGCTGGCGTCTCATATTGCATATGGCAAGGTGGGAAGCGACGTATTATGGATGAACTTACACACCTCTTAGCACCGGAAGAGAGCAGGAAAGGGAAAGACGAGTGTTGCCTTTCCATCTACAAATAGCACAAGACTCTATGATCATTATTAAGGGGAGGACGTCTAAAGAGTATTCATTAGTCACACCTGTATCTCCAAAACGTCATCCACAAGGTGAAGTGTCTGTGTTGCCGTCTATCATTGTCCCAACTCCTAGGTCAGTGTCTAGCACACAAGTAATAAAAAGCACGTTTGTTGAAGGAATTAACATTACTCTTTATTTATAAAAGGAAAAGTGTCTGTGTGGCTTTCCCAAGTGATATTCTTACAGTTTACCTCTTTCTTCCATTTATTATGCTTTTAAAAATGTTAAATTTGGGGGAAATCCTCAAATATATATTCCTATTTTTGTTTCGTACTCCAATCTTGCTGTAAGGGCTGGACTAGATATTTCTCTGGCATTCAGCTTCAGCCACCTGGATTTGGTCTTGTTTCAACTTTACCGACTTGTACTCAGATCTTTTCACATGGCCCAAAGCTACTAAGATTGATGGTTACTGTCATCGGTGAAATTTTTGCTTAAAGCAGATTTAGAAAGTTATTTGTTTCTTTTATTTGCTAAATATAAACATTTACTGGGTCTCTTCAAATTAATGGTGTAAAAACCTTGAAGGAAGTTTTACCTATATTTAAAACAAATCTTACTATGTATTTATTTCATGATTTTTATTTCCAGTCTCCCTTGTGCTTTGAGAATGTAAGGATTCCATGATAATGTTAATAGTACTCTACCATTAATTGAGCACTTAATGTATGCTAAGCATGTTACATGATTCACTCATTTATTTGTCCCACAATTCTAAGAAGTAGCTATAATCTTCACTTTATAGATGAGGAAGCTAAATTACTATTTCAAGTTATTTCACACTATGTATATGTATGTGCATTTAATTCAGGTTTGGCTCTAACAAAAATGATCACTTTGAGAAGTTAGAGTCTAACTATACATTATGTGAAGACTCCTTGGGCCAAGTACACAAAAGTAGTGTATTCCAAGGTAACCCAGAGAAAGGAGTGATTACCTATTGCAATAGAGTTAGGAAAGGAGGGTTTTAACTATCTGTAATTGACACTGTCTATACTACTCACTTATTCTCGTAAAGCTTAGAAAAGGTGAATTTATTGCTACGGTCCCTAAAAGGAAAGAAGAGAATAAATACAAGTCTGAAGATTTTATAGTTATAAGAAAGTTCAAAACTATTCCTTTTGAATACTTGAGTCAGCGATCCTCAAAGGAATGAAATAAAGTATTTATTAAAGGTTTAAGTTTGAAACATATTATAATAGCATTAGGGTATTTAAGTAACCTATGAAAATCAAAATTGGCTGTTGTATTCCCACTATCTCCTCCATAATTTTGGACCTTATTATCTCACTAAAACAACTCTAATCCTTTACTTATTTGTTATCTTGTCTTCTAATCAAATGTCTCTTTTTTTTAGACCTAGGATGAAACTCACTGGTCTAGTAAGTTGCTGACTAGGGCAGAACAAGGATAAGCTCCCTGGTGAGGACATGAGTCTTAGGGTTCGGAGCCCAACTCTGCTTCTTATTAGTTACTTCTCTATTTCACCTTTCTCACCTACCAAAGAGGATGGAATGGCACCATTATATCTCCTAGGGCTTTAGTGAGAATGTAACACTCATAAAGCTCTTAGTATAATACCAACTGTATCATAAGTGCTCAAAAATGTTAATCAGTTAGCCACTGCTACCCATTTTAAAGGTAAGTAATTATATACTATGTTCATTAACTTTATACTGCATCTTAATTTTCAAGCCACCATCAAATGACTTTGTTGCTTCCTTTTGTCTTTAGTAAATGGTGGGACAAATCTCTAGTACATGGAAGAAGTTTTACGTTCAAATTAGTCTGAGCAGATGAAGAAGTAAAATGAAATGAACTTGTCTTCATGTGTAGAAGAGTCTTAGAGACATTACATTTTCTCCCACAGGTGAAGGAGGACGATAAAAATGGAATTCTCTTTTCTCCATCGATACAAAATATTTTCTAACCCAAATCCTTTCTGCTTAGTACAACCACAGTATGTCAAGATCTAAGACCTAAACCAGTATTGCTTGCAGAATAGATTGACTAAAGATAAAATGGGAAACTGTTTAAGAGCCTAATGTAACAATCCAAGCAAAAGTTGCATCATTGTCCTTTTGATGTTTAATGTCACAATGTGATGAATTCCTTTTAGAATTTACTATCTGGAAAATTTGGGTTCCAAGGAAGAATTCTTCTTATCTAAAAAGCTGTTCAGCTTCCTTTTATTCAACAATTTAGTGACTAATTCTAGTTTCCTCTTTGCCTTTGCCAAGTTAATGCTAATTACAATACTGAATACACCTATGTGACTGAAATATTTGCTTCCTCCTCATCCTATGTAATAATGATGTTCTACTATAAACATTTCTATATATTATTGCATAAAAGACTTTTAATGTGAGTTAGCTCTAATTGTTTTGGAGAGCAGATAAAGTATAAATCGATTTTTTTCAAACAAAGTAATTCATGCTGAAAATATTTTGGATTTCCAATTTAAAAGCGAAAAAGACAAGCAACGAACACTGTGCTATTTCTTTCTGTTATTTTATGAAATAAGCTGCACATTTAGACCCAATAGAAAGAAACCAATTTCCAGACCTCAGAGCAGACAACATTGTGGGGGTTTAGATGAAAACAAAGCCCAGGAGCCTGACAAACACAGCTCCCCGGCGAGGAGACAGCACGGATCCCTGCTCGCTGTGGCCTTTGCTTCTCTCCCAACAAATGAAGAGGTAACAACAATCGTTGTTTTATTATAAAATCAGGATTTTTCAGTTTTATAAAATGTGGAATAAACAAAAGGCTTTCGAGTTCAGTGGCATATAGCTTCATTGAAATAAAAACCTTACAACATTTCAAAAGTATTTAGAATGGCTATAATTTGTGTCTGAATAAATTATGCTTTTAAATGGACTATGACTAACATTATACTTTTTTGACAAAAAATAAGTTACATATAAAATGTTAGCATGTTTCTAACTTTAGATTTATATGGCATGTCAGGACACACACAATGGCTTTGGGTAATACAACGGACCGTTGCTCTTTGGAATCAAAATCATTTGGAATCTAGCTGTGTGACTTCAGGCCAGTTATTAAAAACCTTTCTAAGTTTTTGTGTTTTTAAAAATGGAGCTTATGGTGCCTTCTTCAAAAGGGTGTTTGAAAGTGATCAGCATGTAGTGGACCCTCGATACATATGATTTTCCTTCTTTAGTTCATTTCAGTATATTCTAAAGTGGCAAATATTCCCTGATGGCATCGACAGTCTAGAAATCTTGTTTTTCTCAAGTAAAAAGGAAAGTAAAATTTTACTCAAAGGGACACAGGGCACCTATATTATTTCATGAACCTGTGATTAAGTCACACACTGGACCAAGACGACAGCAAGGTCAATGTTTAGTAGAACACCTAAAACAGCTTGCTCTACAAACAACAGCACTCACAATTCAGGTCAAGGACTTGAAAGTCCAGATGACTGTAGGAAAACACTAACATTGTGAAAATCCATAGATAAAATGCTAATATGGCCTCGACATCCATTTTTCTCCATAATTCTGACAGAACTTCACACACAGAGTTTCCATGTATTTGCAATAATAAAAGTCTTTACAAACCTAGCAAAGACACATCAGCAATGATGAAGTAGCCTCCATCAGGAACTATGGGTTTCAGGCCAACACTTTCAAGCAAATGTACCATTCGATCTCTTTTTACTTCTAACTCCTTTGGCAATGAATTAAAGTAACACTCTGGGTCGTCCATGCGCTTGATGTCAATCCATAATGCTCGAGCCAAGGCTTCCTGTATTTTAAGATTAAAAAACGTGAAAAGGAAATATGGAAATGTTATTTATTACTGAGTTTATTGGTATAATAAATAAATACCTAGTAACAATATTATTGGCCAAACAGTCATTCAGGGAATTACAGCTGAATTCCTGTGAACCTATGCTAAACCCTATAGATTAATGGAGGAATTAATGGAGGAATCAGTTGCAAGTTAATGATTATAATTGAAAAAGCGGTATTATGCAAAGATGACACACTTGGAAATAAAAAGAGATCATGTTATTTTGTTCTGAGGTGAGCTGCAGAATGACTGTTAGACCTAAGTCTAAAAGATGATGAGAGAAATGAGGAACTGGCCAGCCTTTCCCCCCTTACCTTAGAGGACATAGTAGAAAGGAAAGCCGACCCCCCTCTGTCACTCCTCACAGGTGTGCAAATACCTGTTCTAATCATCCATATTCCAGGAAGAGGGCCTCAGGGCCACAGGTATTAGAAATAAGTTTCTGGAGCCTGCCAGTGACTTCTCTACCTTTCTTCAGGAAAGTTGGAAGACATAAGGGTGAAGTTGGGCCCTGAGAAAAGCCAATGCTATTAGGCAGGTGTCTGAGAGGGCAACAGGTCGGGAACAAGTCAACATGTCTAAACCTGGGCGCACAAAAAGAACACGGACCTACCCAACCAGGAGTGTGGAGCTTGGTGGGCAATTGTGAACTGGCACAACTTAGAGATACTGGTTCTTGGAGCAAATGAGGACATTCAAGCAACTAACCAAGAACTTGGGACAGTTAGGAGATAGAAAGGCAGAGCAAAGTGGCCAAATTTTAATGAAATTAATCACAATCAAGAGATATCAAGAAGTAGAGGATACATTCAATTACTTAGTAAATGAACTGAGTATGTTAAACCGGTATTGTGATAAATGCTGGCGCTATAATCATAAATAAGACAAACGTGGTCTTTGCCTTCACAAAGCCTCCGATAGTGTATATTGGTGAGGGCAGGGGGAGATATGACACAGAAAACAATTCCATGAACAAAAGAGGATGCCACTTGTTTTTCTGGAAGAATGAGAGAAGTCTAGTGTGGCTGTGGGTAGCCAGAAAGAGAGCATGGCAAAAGTCAACACTGAGAGATGGGAAGAGCTAAACCAGAGAAGACTGCATGCCAAAAGAATTCAGCAGAAAAATAAAAGGATTAATAGTAGTGATTCCCCAGTACTAAAAGAACCTTGGATAAATAAGCATAGGTTGCTTCAGCCTAGGAATCTGTGGTTCCCCTGAAAACCGGGCCAGTTTCCAAACATGGTTTTTTGAAGGAATGGAAAACAAAACAGGCCACTTAGCTGAAATGGACAGTAAGATGGTTCTCAGAAAGGTGTTCCAGATTCTCACCTGAATCTTTCTTTTCTTTAGTAACATTTATTCCCTACAGCAGGAGGTACTAACCTAGGAAATTCAAAGCCCAGGAGACACAAACATATGTCCTCACTGTAGAATTATACTGGGCTCTTCTCTTTTACTCATAACCCATATGCAATCCATCAGCATTCACCTTCAAAAAATATTTAGAACCCAGTCACTTTTCACCATTTCTACCATCCACGTACTGGTTTAGTCCATCGCTATCTCTCTCCTTTATCACTTCAATATTCTTCTAACTCTACCAAGCAGCCAGAGTCCCCTTGATAACACATGTCACTGCAGTGCTCTAAACTCTCCAGTGGCTTCCTATCTCAGTCTCCACCCTGAGGAACACACCCCTTCTTGATCTGGCCGCCAGCTGCCTCTCTGACTTACTTCCTCCTGCTCTTCCCCCCTGATCATCCTGTTTTAGCCTCACTGCTCTTCACTGATGTGCACAACCAGGCTGACCACCCCAGGGCCTTTGCACTTATACTTAGCATGGTATATTTCCTCCTTCACACTTTATATCTTTCCTCCCCACTTCTTTATTTTTCTCCATTGCATCTATCAATATCTGAAATATTGTATTATTAAAATATTTATCTGTTTGTTATTTATGCTTCCCATTGTGCTATAAGGTCCATGAGGGCGGGAATCTTCATCTGCTTGTCTTCCATACTCAGCCAATATTGGCTGAATAAGAGAATGGATTTATTTTCAGAGGACAAAATGAGTTTAATACTATATAATAAAAGCAAATGTCAGAACTAGCCTTTATCATGGTGTTATTTTAAAGTGACTACACATTTCATTCTTTGGCCTTTTAACTACTTTCCAGAAAAATACATTTTTTAAGTGTTTTGATTATTTATACAGTGATGGTACTTTATAAATATTTTTAAAAAGAGAAATATAGAAAAATATACATTAAAAATTCTTTCACCCACCCCTGTCCCTGTCCACTCATTTCTCCTGTTCCTCTTACTCCTAAGACAGCCACTTTCACCAGTTTCATTTTGGATCCTTCCAGAGATTCTTTAAGAACATATAAGCAAATAGTTTTCCCCTTTCTTATACAGAATGTAGCATAAATATACACTGCTCTGTATCTTGCTTTTGTACTTTACATTATATTCTGGAAATGTTTTCCTATCAGTAATCATAGAGCTTCCTCACTATTCCCCTTTCTCTACTGTTAATTTTTAAACAACCATGGTGTCAGAATACTGGCCCCCAAAGATGTCCACGTCTTAATACCCAGAACCTGTCGATACGTTAACTTGTCTGATAAAGTGAACTGTGTAAACGGGGTTTAAGTTAAGGGTCTCGAGATGGAGAGATTATTTAGGAATATCTGGGGTCCAACGCGATGGCACGGATCCTCCTGAGGGGAAGCCGGGGGCAGGAGGGAGCGTGCTGACATAAGCTGAGGCTGGAGTGATGTGCCGCGCACCAAGGATGCAGGCAGCCCCTGGAAGCTGGGAAAGACAAGGACTGGACCCCGCCAGAGCCTCCGGAAGGGACGTGGCAATGCTGGCACCCTGCTTTTAGCCCTGCCAAAGGCATTTCAACTGCTGACCCCTGGAACTGTAAGATACATGATTTGCGTTGCTTTAAGCCATTCAGTGTGTGGTAATGTGTTACGGAGAAATAGGACACTAATACAGTCCCACACTATTTAAATGTTTAGCTAGATCATAGTTTACTTAAACCAACTGCCTATGGATGGAAAATAAGGTTACTCTCTCTCCTGCAATAAATGGCTGTGCACACAGGGCTTCTTACACATGCAGATAATAGTTACAGAGGGAATTCCCAGGAGAGACAGTGCGGCTTCATAGCACACGCACACCTCTCATTTGGCTTGGAGCTGCCACTGTCCTCTGGAGACTTGATAGTACTTCGTAACCCCACCAGCAAAGGAGGAGCATTCCAAGTTAAAACTTGATGTATTAATATTTAAAAAAAAAACCAAACTATTCTTAATAGCCATGACTATGTGTCTGCTCCTAAATCCCCAAATTATACTAGAAGCTCTACTCACCGAGGGCATGAAGGAAAGAACCAAACAACTCAAACACACAACATAAACACAACACCTTCACCAAAAGACCACGCCTCAACCCCAGGTACCGTGACACCTACCTGTAAAGGGGTTGCACAGGCATAAATGCTGTTTTGTTGAATGGTCTGCAGATGTTTTATTAAGTGATTAGGACCAATGGACCAGCCAAGCTGAAGAAGAAAAAAGATAAAAGCAAATTTCAACCTAATTGTATGTACCAAATCTGTTAGAGTATGTAAACTTAATGCAATTTTTAAAATATATTCAATTCTAAAGTGTTCACATTATGAAAGGAGTTCAGTTTTAGAATTATTTCAACACTTCTTTTTGTGTAAAAGTTGCCAGTTGGAATCACTATACTTTGCTCTCAGAAGGTACCTGCAATTATTATCTTCTTCTCTGTTAGCTCACTATTTCTGATGCTCTGAAGCTCTGAGAAATGGCGCCGAAGCTTGCTTGAACTACATACAGATTAAAGTAACTCTGGATGGGGGCCTGAGGCATCTTCCATTATGGCTCTGCAGGCCTCATTTTTGATAATCCCTGCTTCTCAGCCATGATGAGAAGGCGAGATTTGAAGACAATCGAGTTTCAACCAGATAAATCATGGGCCAGAGCACAGGGATTCAGGGCAGGGACGTAGACGCCAGCCTGCGTCCCCTGCCTTGCACGTATTAGCAGTGGGACCTGAGACAAGTTCCCTAACTTCTCTGTACTTTGGTTTTACTATCTGGAAGATGGAGGGGACAGATCACACCCACCTCCTAGTGTGATCGTGAGGATGAAAGGAACCAGTGCGGGCACAGCACTGAACCTGGCGTGTAGTGGAAGTGCCAAAATACTGCTTTTATTATTTGTTCTCCTTTTATACTAACGGGCAGCAATCTGAACATTCTTTGCTAAGAAAAAGCGTCATTAGTTGGTTACTTACAAAATGAAAAATTACCTAGTTTTCTTATTTTAAAGACATGATTAATTCTCAGAGAAAATAAAGGCCAACATGAAAGCAAAATGAGTAAATAATAAGCAAAAGATCGGTAAGTATAAACACCTGTGTAAGCTGAATATATGTGCATTCAATATACAAAAACTCTACAAGAAGTAAGTTACATGCTTGTTTTTAAGCAATTAAATTCTTCATCTTACCTTCCAGCCAGTCACACTGAAAGTCTTCCCGGCGCTTCCTATGGTTATTGTTCTCTCCCACATACCTGGAAAAGTGGCTGAACAGACCAAAAAACAGTTAAATAACCGCTTCCAATCAATCTACGTTTGGTATAATCTAAAAACATAAATGTATCATAGTGTGATCAGTAGTATTTCAATAGGTTTAAAAAATTTTTTATTTATGAATTGTTTTTAGAGAGATGAGAAGGGAAGGACAAAGAGAGGGAGAGAAACATCGATCATTTGCCTCTTGCGTACCCGCTACCCAGGCACGTGCCCTGACTGGGATGGAACCCGAGGCTGCAGGCCGGCACTCAATCCACTGAGCCACACCAGGCAGGGCTTCAACAGGTTTTTAAAAAGATACTGTTACTTTAACTCAAGCATAGTTGAAAATGCTGCAATGTTTGTAAACACTGTAATATTGCCCCCAAATAATAGGTAATGTATTGAATAATCTTAAGTAGCAGCATTATTTCCAGGGGCAGGAGTGGCAGAGGTGCCGGCAGGCAGTGTTCTGGGCGGGTTCAGCGTGGCGGCCACACAGGCCGTGGCACCCAGCACTCAGTGCTGGTAAATGGCTGTGTGGTCAAGGCAAGGATTCTGTGGCACGTTTTTGTTGTGATTCTGGCTATCATTTGGTTCACCTCTGTCCTGGCTGACACCAGCAATGTCAGTGTACTGGGGAACTTACAAGAAAGGCAAATTCTTGGGCTGCATCACAGACCTACTGAGTCCAGAACTCAGGAACTGGGGCCCAGCAATCTGTGTGTGCCTGCGCTTGTGCGTGCATATACGCGCTCTGCTAACAACTTCATTGAGATATAAATTCCCCATCACATAATTCACTCATCTCGAGTTTTCAAAGCAATGTTTTTAGCATACCCACGGAGTTGGGCAACCATCACCACCATCAACTCTAGAACTTTTTTTCACCCTGAAAGGAGCTCCACGCGTTTTAGCTGTCAGCCCCTAGAATCCCCAAGGCCAACAGCACTGGAACCTGTGCCTCAGAGCAGCTTATCTAATGCCAGGTATTTTCTCTGTAATGCACGACAGTCTTCCTGCACTTGGGAACATTAGATAGTACTTCAGCCCCACACATAAAAGATACTCTAAACAGCAAAGTCACCATTAAAAGGACACTCGCTTACAGTACAAGCTGAAGCAAGAAGGCAGAAGGTTGCCTTGTTGACCCCAGTGGGGAACATTCGTTTTGGGTGACATATTTTCACCCCTCTGCACATGACTGAGAAAGAAGCACTCCAGTGATTTGGGGGTTACAGATATATTTTAGTGAGTAGGTGAGTTCACAAATATGGATTCCATGAATAATGAGAAACAACTGTGAAAGCTTTCAAGTTGATTTGTATCTTTAATAAAATCATTTTATTCATCCACTCATTAAACATTTATTAGTAACGATCAGGCACCAGGGACTAAGCTAAGCTTAGAGGAAACACAGATGAGAAAGATACAGTTCATATCTTCACGGAGCTTAATGTCTAGTGGGGGTGGGAGATGAGTAAGGCAACGCTTGCAACACAGTGCAACACTGTAATAGCAACTGGCTAGGAGGATTATGCAGGGATGGGAGGTGTTCGGGGTGGGATGCTTGAGCAGAGACGTGGAAGATGTCTGCCAGGCAGGGAAGGGGAAAGAAAGGTAAATTGGGGGCAAAGGGAATGTGTAAAACCAAGTCCTGGGGGTATAAATGCAAGAGTTCATGTCTTTTGCTGGACGGTGGTACATTATTTCTCGGTAATCCTCTGAGAATGCTACCGACAACACTGCCTTTTGGATTCCTCACATAATTCAGTTGTGAAGTTCTTTACATGCAATCCCACAGTTTTTCACTTGTTTTTTTGGAGGTACGATAGATAAAAGAGATGTTCTCGTATCATTCTGAGTGTTGGTACACACAAAAATAAATACTGGGAGAGGGGGCAAGCTGTTTGTTTAAAGTAATCTTCTGACAACAAGTAAAGTACTTACTAAAATGTAAGGTAGCTAAAGAAATTTCCAAAACGAATGTACACATAATTCCAGTCTATCATAAAGCACCTGCCAATATTTGTAAAGGGTACAAAAACTGTATAAACCAAAAAGTTATAATTATATTCTTTATGGAGTATAACCCCCCCCCGAAAAGATAAATGGGGAAAATATTCAGAGGGTCTATTCAAAGAAGGAATATTTTAATATTTGATATAAATAATTATAACCCTTCGAGTTCTGAGACATTTCTAGACTTCCAAAGTTTTCCAAAAGAACACCACGTCCCATGTGCCACTCTCCTGTTTGACTCTGTAAAATGCAGAGTATCACTGCCTTCAAAGTAATAGTATTATCCAAAATCAGAAAGGCCTAATTAGTAAGAACAATATTGGGAAATAAAATCTTTGAAAATAAAAATTACCCAAAGAAACTAATATAATCCTAAAATGTTTTCACTATAAGTTACATATGAAAGAAATTAAAAGTACTCATGTCAAACGTAGGTTTCATGCACAAACTATCAAGTCTAATTTAATATTTTAAGAAAGAGCAATTTGTTGATGGCTACTTTAGCGAAATAAAAGTGGATATAAGCTCAGCAGATAAATAGCTTGCAAAGAATTTTACACTAATTTTCCAAATATCAGTGGATTAGTATATAAATATCAGTGTATTAGAAACCTCTTCTATAAGAGAGGTGTCTTTTGTTGACTAAATGCTTTTTTACTGAAACTCAGAGATATTATTTGAATCGAGAATCTGATCCAATAAGAACAAATTCTACTATTTCAACAGAAGGGGTTTTAAGTAATTTTAAAGCACCCGGATATTCATATCCTCCCGATCTCAGAGATTTGGGGAGCCACAGAAGTTGATGTGAACAGACAGGCAGAACATGTGATCACAGCGCTGTAACCACAGTGATCTGGAGTCAAAGAAAAAGTATTGGCAGGTCTGATTACTTAACAGCTATACCCAGTATCAGTAACTTCAGCTTGCAGTACATCTGAAAGGCAACTGGTCTTTGCACATCTCACTTTTGACCCATGGTCCTTCAGTCAGCCACAGAAGCTGTAACAGTTATTCACAGGCAATTTAGGCTTCGGTAGAAATCGGATTAGAGGCATGATGAAGAGCCCCACACGAGGGAAAACTGCCTCTGTGACAACATGACGATGATGCTAATTTCATGAAGTGTGGCTGGAAGAGCCTTACTGTCTCATATTAAAGAAATACTATTGTGCTCTACAAATTGATGGAATAGTGGTTTTGAATCTTTCATGTAACAAAGGCCTCTCTATTTGATAGAATACATTTTCGTGCAACCAAACTGCATTCTCTAAATAATGAAACAGTGAATTCATTTTTTTCTTGTTTTAACTTTATGGGCTGTTATAACAACTAAAGAATCTGACTTAAAAATATGTCTTGATATTTCTTGTAAATGATATTATCAGTTACACGGTTACCATAAGGGCTTACAATATAACAAGGTTTAAATATGATACAGGCTTAAAAAATAATTTCAAAATTATTTAAAGTAACCTTTTTGAAAGAATATTGCTAAACTGAGCTGACTACAACTCTAAAGTTTTGAGTCATTCTCACGCAGGCATGAACATATCTGTAGGTAGAATGTAAAATCGTATTTATTCATTACAGATAGATGCCTCTCCCTCTGTGCTTAATCTAAAAGAATGTAATAAATTTAACAGGATTCAATCCATTAATTTCATTAAAAATATTTAACTATTTTTAAATAAATCAAATGAATTTAAATATTTAAAAATGCATAGTAATTTAATACAATTTAATGTGAAAAATCCACCAAAAAATTAATTAATGGTCCATATTGGCCTGACTGTCCACTGGGGAACAGTTCAAACGACCCAGGACAGAGGTAGGTCATCCACAAGACCTGTCGGGGTGAACTCCGATGCAGTTTCGATGCAGAACCACAGTTACTGCCTTCAGACACCACACCGTGAACACCTCTGGCCTTCTACTCTGTTTATACATTCTCCCTCATAATTTCATCTTGATCATCAAGCCTATAATTTCAGTTGTTTTTGGACTTTTGTGTCTCACAGACACTGAAATTTAACAAGACTGAAGCACAGGCAGCCGGAATTTCCTTGGCTCAGCTCTTCCCCACAGATCTGCTCCTCCTCTCTCCACCTCTATCTCTGGGTGAGGGCCTCATCACTGCTGAGGGGGCCAGGCTGGAGCTCTCAGAGTCAAACTGGCTTGTTCCCTTCCCGCCTGCTACTGATGTCCTCTGTGCCCCAGTCTCTCCTTGTAAACAGCTTGCGATATCATCTCCACTGCTGGGGCACCTGAGATCTCACCTGCAGCTGGTTCTTACCTTCATAAAACAAATCCAATCATGCAATCGATTCTCCTGCGTTGTCACACCTTTTGCAGTAGTTCTCAAAGAATGCTCACTGGTACTCTCTCTGGTGATCAAATTAATGTATAGAATTTAAAAAGATCAACTAAATTATCCTCCACCAAATTTTCTTAAGCACTTAAGATAAATGCCGCCACTCGTCTAATAATGAATGCTCTCAATAGTGAAACAAATGAGCATTTAGTAAATGATTATTAATGGCAAATTCAAAAAAACTCGGATGTGTTTATCTCAATAGCTCTTTGTTACGAAAAAATATGCACAAAATTGTGATTTTTATGTTGACTTCTAACTATTTAATTTCTGTCAGGAAAACTGTTTCTAGTTTCAGGATGGAATGCTACCACTAGTCCACGGTGCAAATATCAAGGCTGCGAGGAGCTCTAGCAGTAAAATAAACTTCAGCACCACGGACCTCCTGTGAACAACAACGTGTACAAATGGAGCCAGAGCTGCCACGCCACAGAAACTACCTTGCATGTCTCCAGCCTCAAATCTTTGGATGTTAAAACAGGGCAAAGTAACCTTCGGATGGGGACTAAGCAAACTGGTGTCCCAAAAATCTGTTTGCAAAGGTAACAAGAAAGCAGATATATGACTGCTGGACTAATGACTACTGCACTGAAAATTAAAACATTGTTTAAAATTATATATGTTATATGCAACAATAGAAACGCCTTTCTTCTACTGATGTAATTATTCCCCTTCCCTTTCTCATAAATACTCATTGCCTTTGTCTCTTAATCAGAACATTATTTGGGCTTTCGCCTGAAGCAATAATTCCAGTATATCTATCCATACAGACCTCGATAAATGCTTGTTGCCTCTCACTCTGAAAGGCTTTTTTGTCTTTAGCACTCCTCACAAAGTTTAGACTCCATTTTCATATACAATGTCCTTCAGAATCACCTACTTTTCCACTTTCATATCTATCAGCTGCTACAACACACCCTTATAAACCACTTATTTTTTTTAAGTTTATCTTGCTCTTTCAGGCCTTTTTGCCTCAGCACCCATCAGTTTGTCTGTTGGAAATTTTTTACCTATTTTTTTTGCCCGGCTAATTCTGTCTTTTGCCCACTCCCTTGTTGAGCCCCTCCAATACCTGCTGTCCCCTCTGTGTCTCTACAACAATTTGCGATGCAAATTGCATCATGTGGGTCATCGTCACACTGGCAACAACCATTTACATGCGAGTGCACTCATTTTTTAAAAAAATTTATTGGTTTCTGCCACAGTGATTTGAGTTATCCTTCCCTTACCCTTTTCATACCTCCCGTTCATTTATTCAACAATTACTTTCTGATCATCTACCATGTGCAAGACCCTATTCTGGGGATTGAGAATTCAGAGGAGACCAAAACAAACTAAAAATCCCTTTCTTCTTGCAGGTTAGATATAAAATATATAGATCTTGATATTTGCTACAAAGAAAAAAAAATAACAAAAAAGAACAGAAAAAGGACCAAGCAAATGCTGGAAGGAGAGGTGTAACTGTGGTCATAAAAACGGACGCCTGAATAAAGACCCGAGGGAGGTGAGAGACTGAGCTCCGTGTCCCTCTGGGGGAAAAGCGCCTGCAGGCACAGGAAGGGCAAGTGCAAATAGCTGATATAAAGGTGGGCTGCCCCAGAAGGCAGTATGGCCTTTGTGGGATGGCCCTGAAATAGTGGCAAAATCCTAGGCAAGGGCCAAGCAGTAGCAGCTTACTGTCCCCGTAATTTCTTCCTGCTGACCTCACATTGTGGCAACTTTCTCTGTGGAGAAAGTCCACTTCAAGGAGAAGTAAGCTCCTGTGTCTTATGGACCAAGTTATAGCTGGATTCTTGATGGAAGCCAATGATGTTACTGCTCGTTTTATCTAATTAGTAATAAAGGAAAGAGGGGCAAAGACAATTAGACATTGAGTTGGACAAACTGGGAAGCATAAACCTGTTTGCTTCACCAGGCAGCTACAGCTTCACACCCCGGGGGGATTACAGCACTGCTCCACCAAGGGGATTAACACTCCTCCGTCCCCCGTCCCCGACTCGGATACCGCATGGTGGGGTTTGGGGGCGCAGGGAGAGGTGCCTGACCAAAAAGGCCTATCATTCTAATGAGAGAGTATAAACCTATCAAATGTTTGTGAAATCTTGGGGACTTGATCGGTTCCTTTGAAAAAGCACCTACCCAGTCCATCCCAAACCCAAGCTAATATAATCCCAGGGGAACCAAGGAGCTTTCTCACCCTCTCTCTCTCGCCCACCGGTACCAGACTCGCCCTGGGCGTTCATGCTCTCTCTCGCCCAGGAGCACGTGACCATGTGGGCCCAGCAGCTATCGAGACCACAGGTGGTGTGGGCTCAAAACGGACCAAGCTTTAGTATGAATCAGTAACTCTGGACACTGGTGCTTGTGTTGCCCCAGTTGAAGACAAGATCGGACCTTTTCCATGGTGAGACAAGGGGAGATGTGAAATTAGAAACCCAGGGGCAGCTTCTGTTCCCACCTGAATAAACCTTGCCGCACCACAGCCTCCGGTGCCTGGATCCCTGGAATGCTTTCCTCGTCATCCAGGAAAGAGCCTGATTCTGACCTGCAACACCACTGCTCTGGTTTCATAGCTTTACCGGGCGATACAAAAGCTCCTGCCTTAACTTTGTACTGTTCGGCCTTCGATCTTCAGTTCATTAACTCACCTGAGCACCATTTATTCAAATCTCATTTTTAAGTATTCATACAGACAGACACACATTACAAAGATTATTTTAAAGCTGTTCTGGGATCCTTTCCAATAGTTGTGCCACACACGCCCAGACACATTTGTGACTCTATGTGATGATCATTACCTATTTTAAAATGCTTATTTCCAGTATACACGAGCCATTCATACACCTCATCACTGATGCATAATGTGTCATATTTGATGCACAGATCGGCAATCACTTGGAGTTCTTCTTTGGTGTACACCTGTACATATTAAACAAATAACAGCAGAACAATTATTACTCAATGTGGGAGCAAATGCTGGATCACAAAACTACATAAAGAGTTTATGAAACTCACTTACTTTGCCAAAGGGGTTATGTGGAGAATTTAGTATAATAGCTTTGGTTTTGGAATTAAATTTACTTGCCAGTTCTTCAGGATCCAATGTCCAGTCAGAACTGGACCATTTTTTCCCATCAACAGGTGTCTAAGAATGAAGAATGAAGATGTGATTTAATTAAATGAAATCATGTTTGCTGTTTCATGAATACGTAACTTAATAAATAAAAACAGAGAAAAGTGTGGCAAATATAACTGAATAAATGACTAACAAAAAAAATAAACAAAAATAACTCAGCCTCAAGAGCCCAAGAGGACTTGCCTCATGCTCATACCTGTTAAACAGAAAAATGAACCTTGTCAATACTAACAGTTGTTACAGTGCCCATATTCTTTCAAAGGGGACAGCTATAACCATGGTTAACATGTCTCATACTATAAGACCAGTAGAAAATTCTAGGAGTCAGCTTAGTGTATTACTTATTTTAATATAATTTTTAAAAAAGACAATGGTACTATATTACATTCCTGAAGATAATAGTAGAACAGAAAAAAATCACTTCGTTCCGAACTCAACAAGCATCTTCTGAGCACCCAGCATCCCTCTGCACTGGGGAGCGGTGCTATAAACTGAGTCCGAAGTGGGCTCTACCTGGCGGTGCTCAGTCAGTGGGGGAGACACATGACCATGAAAGACAGTGCTACATGTGTGTGGATGCTAATGTAACAGACACACATGGCAAAGACGTGGTAAGTAATAAAAGTGCCCCTCTTCACATAGTTGCTTACTAACTTTTGTGAAAGTAGAGATAATATATTATATCCCCAAATGTAAATTAAGTACAAACTTTACTGGCAACAAAGTAATTGGTATTTTCAAAACTTCTTAAAGCATGTGAACGGTACTGGCGAACTCACAGATCTTAAAGAAACAAAAACGGGTGTTCCTCCAGCCATTCTCACCATGGGCTCGTAGCAGTCATAGAAAGGTACTATCACTATGACCTGAAATACAAGCAAATGAGAACACGACATATCAATCACTGATCCACTTAACAAAACTGCATAACTACTGGGCGTGAGGCAGTACTACACACTGAGGTGCAGAGTGAAACAAGCAGGCTTGGTCTTCAGGGAGCTGACATCAGTGGAAGAGACCCTGGGGATAAACGTATCTGGAGCCTTGATTGGAGTCATTGATCTCTAAGGGAGATTTATAGACAGGCTTGCAGAGGGGACCCTTGGAATTGTATGCAAAGCTTTCTGTGTGCATAGGTAGATTTTTGAGGGGAAAAGGGCCACAGCTGTCATCACCTTCTCAAAGGGATACTCCAGACAAAAACATGGTGTTTATTTAACTTTAAAGTTAGAACATAAAATACCACAGGGTGACAGAAGCCAGGCGCTAAAGAGAACACTGAAATTCTTTCTGTTGTGGAGTACTGATTTGTAAGTATTTTCTTGAGATTAGAGACGCTTCCCTTTTCTCAAAAGCATCCTGAAACAGTAGGTGCAGGAAGACTAGTTAGGATGCCATCTTTGTGGTCTGATACCATATCTTCTCATGACTTATATCTGGATTCTGTCTCTTTCCCAGTCCCTGGAATGCACTCCTGGTCCCTTCGGTCCCACATGACCTCTCTCCCAATCACTTATGGGTGGCTTTCGGGTCAGTGGGCCAGTCCCGCCAGGCCAGCCAGTATCCCTCTCACCATCTGCCAGCCTGGATCTAGTACCCTGACTTTTTGCTTTTCTATAAGGAGAGCTTGAATACACAATTCATAGCCATTATATACATTCAACTTTTCTTTCTTTTTTAAACCCAGCAATATTTCACAAGAATTTAATATTATTCATTTTAGTATTTATTATTTTAGTGGCAATTTGAGAGACTCTTGCATTCTAGAATTTTATCATTTGCTTTTATAAATAACAATGCTATGCCCATTTGTAAGCATAGTTTCTCTATTTTAAAATAGTTTGCTGCATAAATCCAGACAATTGCTATTGCTAGATTAAAGGGTATAAACATCCTTATGGCACTTTCTATATATAGCCAAACTGCTTTTGAAAAATCTAGCAACAACTATTTATAATTTCACAGGTCAACACAAAGTTGTCTTATAAAACTTTATGTTGGTTAAATTAATGGTTCCTAATGATTGTTCTAAATGTGCAGTTTTTACTGTTTGTATTTTCTATGATGTGAAATACCCATCCACGTTTTTTCTCTTTGGCATCAAAAGAGGCCCTTCCTTCTTACGCCCCTTTGCTTGCACTAGTCATTCAGCTCTCATTGCGCACCTACTATCTAATGTGCCATGTTGGAGGTTGTGTATTGTGGAGGACAAAGAAATGAACCAGGAACTGAACTTTCACTCCAGCAGACTGCAAGTTTTTAATCAGTCCGTGAAATCTTGGAAACTAAGACGACCGATCTTTGCAACCCTGGTGAGAAACATAGTGTCTGATATGAAATGAGAGTTCAAAGGAAAGGAAACTATATTGGGAGGCAGGGAGGCATAACTCAGAGAAGGCACTTGACACACTGCCCTGTAACTCCTTCACTGTTACAATGAAAGTAATCCCCTCCCTTTGTGAAGAATCATTCCTGAGCACACTCACTATTTTAGGTGCAGGCCGTACAGCAACAAACCAGTTCTGGGACTCCCATTCTACTCAGAGAGACTTATAATACACAAGAAAACGAGTAAATTGAATAATTTCAGACAGTATTCAATGTTATAAAGGCAGTGAAATAGGTCAAAATTAGAGGGTAACTTTGTGTGTGGTTTCAAAATATTAAATAAAGTGACCAGGGAAGAAAAGACTGGAGACAAGAAGGCGGAGGGCTGAGCTTCCAGCACTCCACCAGGGCACGGAGAAGCAGAAGCAATGAAGGGTTAGCGACACCAAGGTCTGAGGTGAAACTTCAACTCCTTTATAGGAGTAAACGATGTTTTTTATATAAAATTATGACTGTACTTTCTTAACATGTTCTCTTTAATTTATTGTCTGGCATAGTACAGGCAATGAGATATAAAACAATATAACTCAAAGTAATAGCAGTGGTTTGTTTCCATGGAAAAAATACAGATAAAGTGCTACGAGAATTCAAAGAAAGGAATTAACAATATAGACCACGGTGAGCACTCATTCTTCAGGCCCGGCTTAAGCAACACCTCTCTGGAGCTTGGCAGACCTACATGGCAGAGTTGATCCCTTCCCTTTGTTACCACTACGACTCAACGCACCACTACTGGCAATCACAGTGCACTCCTCTTAATCTGTTTACAGATCAAGAGTACATACCCTATGACTCTGTTATATCAAGTTAAAGAGCAGGTGATGGCAGACAGAAGAGTGAGTACCTCTAGGGGAATACAGACAAGGAAGGGGCAAAGGGGGGAGGAAATGTGTATCTTCATCTCCTTTGTGGTCACATGGGAATGAATACACACACACGTAAAAATTTATTGTATGTTTAAGATTCGTGAACTTTGATGCATATGCATTATACTTCAAAAATTTTTAAAAATAAGAAAGAACATAAAATAAGTAAGAGATTCAAAGGCAGGACAAATGATAATGATGAAAATAGATAAAAGACTGTGTTACCACACTTACTTCATCCCCTTCATCAATTAATCCTTGAATGGCACTGAAAAGAGACCCATAGGCTCCTACTGTCACTAGGACTTCTTTATTTGGATCGATGCGATTTTGATAAAACTTTTCATACAAGCAAGACAGAGCTTCCACAAGTGATGGATGACCCTGTTGAATAAAACAGGAGACAAAAACTTGAATAATGGAACCTACTTCTTTGAAATAATTTAGTTCTAAATATGCAAGAATTTTTAAAATACAGGTTTTTATGAATACCCAAAGATATGTACTTTTAACTGGCAGTTAATTTAAATTTTTTCCTACATTCAAAGGTTCCTAAATGAATGACTGTGAAGACTTGCTAATGATTGAAAACTTCCCATGAAGCGACTGATTTTAGAATACTAAATATCAAATTATTTGTTTTGAATAAAAATTGACTTCAACATCAAATATATTTTTGACACTACATTTTAATAGTAATCAGAGCACATTTATTTTTGACAGTAATTGAACCATATTGAATAGAATTAGATATTTTTCCCAGGTAAAATGAGCCCCAAACCAATATTACCTACATATCACTTGATTCTGTTGTTCCAAGTTGCAGGAGACAGGGTTATTCGAAACCATGGACTAAGAGGGAAAAAGCAAATTCACCAAAGCCATGCACATGGTTGCTGATGTGTTAACAGCAAACGCAAGGGAGAAGCGCAGCATTACTCCTACTGACAGCCAAGAGAGCAGTAACCGCCCAGGAGAACAACCTGAACATGAGGACGGAGGGGACTGTAAAGGCACGAAGTCGGAGTGTGGGAGGCCTGACTTCTTGATCGGCTCTTCCTCAGTCTTCTCTTCCATTTTCTTCTGTTCCCTTCTCTCCTTCTCTGTCTTTTTCCCTCCTTGTGATTTTAGGTATTAAAGTCAGTATTTCTTGTTTTCTATACAGCATTTACTTTTCCCTTTTGCTTTGGGGAACCACCCTGATTTTCTGTCACATGCCAATGAAGTGTCCACGTGCAGGTAATATGCTTTTGTTTGAAAAGCTCCTGTGCTCCGGAGGAACAACCGGGTTATTATTAGGACGTAAGGGAAGAGGGAGGCTGGTTGGATTCACCCCGGGTTTGCGAGGGAAAGGGCCTGAGGTTCCTTGTACATTGACCACCCCAGTTCAAATGCAGAAAATGAGGCATAGTTTTTTGGTCAAAGATGCATTTATTTGTCACATTTTTATTCCTTTGAGCATACTGGCTAGTATGTGCCAGACCCTCACCAAGTTAAAATTAATAAATGTAAAGCTATCATACGTTTTTTCATATTTTGAAATTAGAAGATATATTAGAGAACCTGGGAATAATTAATAATAGAAGAGGTACTAGAACATAGGCAATAAACTGAAAAACAACAGCGAAAGAAAAAGATCACATAAATTCAAGCTCAAAAAATACACGAGGACTGTGGGAAGCAACAGAAGTTTGTCTCCATTCCCAGAAATCCAAAATTTCCTTTTAATACCAGGCCTGACAAATTCTCGCAAAGGGAGACTTGAAAGCAATTATAATAAACACTAAACATCTTTTCTTAGAATGATAAGGGTCTGTGATTTGAAATATTCTTAATTATAAAAATAATTCATGCTTCATACAGTAATTAAACTAGGCAAAGACATGCAGCCAAGTTATGATTTCTCCTCAATATCACTTCCTCTCCTCCTCTGAGGGGTAATGTCCTCAGCCTGGTATAAAGGATAATGAAGAGGCCAGTGATAAAGCAGCACAAGCGTTAGTGGAAAGAAACCTGTGTCTCAGGAGAGCATTCTCTCTCCCCTGTTGCCATTCCCCACAACAGTGTAAAGGACGGGCCAAGACAGCACCGTGGAGAGGCTGGAAGTGGAGGGCAGTGGCCCATCCAGGGGGGTGAGGGAACGGGTCAGGTTCCTTGGTTATCAGATTGGGACACTGGTCCCAGAAAGCCAACTGCACAGAGGTGGTTAGGTGTTCATACATAATACAACATAAAATACAAGCTCATGTCCCACGCGATCCTCCTGTACTTACAAAGCCCCGTGTATACTGATTCATGCTGTCCACAGCCGCAGCCTTTGATAATTCTTCCTTCACATACTCAGGAGGGGAGATATCTGGAAGACCTTGGCCAAGATTCACGACAGAGGGGTCTGCAGCCAGCTTGGTAAATTCAGTCCTAAGATAAACAAATACTAATATTAATAAGCACTATAATTACAATGCTACCTTTTTATACTTCATAATCTTATTATAAAACTGAAAAATAAGACCTGCTGTAATTCAATAGATTAAAAAAATATGAGTTCTCAAAAAAATTTTACCATCTACAAAATGACTTCACTTAATGAAATGAGAGATGAACAAAGAATGCTTCTTACAAACCTCAATTCTGATGCCCAAATTTTAATGATATAGATTTTTTCAGTTACACCAGTCCTGCTGTGTTCTGTTATAGACTGTTAGAGACTGGAGCTAATAAGAAGAGATTAGGAGGTAAGTTCTAGGAAGGCATCAACCAAACTTGTCTTTTCTCTGCCTATTTCCAGTGACTAGCACAGGACTCGACACATTTGCTCAATGAACAAATCAAAGGATGGATCATTAACCTCCTTCCATTTCCACTTAAGGAATGAATTAAAATAAGGTGATTTGTTGGTAGACCACAGACAAGGCTAAAAATTCCCAAGTCCCGACAGAAGGACGTGCTGGACAAAACTCACCACGTGACTACTGCTGATTCCAAAGTACTCACCACACGCTGATGCCAAGGCCTTCAATTCGTTTGGCGTTTTTAAATTTCAAAGACATTCTCTGAAAGGTATAAATATTAAAAGAGTGTTTAAATTTCTTTAATCAAAGTTCAAAAGTGCCAGAAAATCATGGATGACTCTTCACCCTATTGTTGACCTGGAAAAAAAAAAAAGCATTGTAAATGTAGATGCCAGGCTTCAATAAAAAACCCTGAAGAGGAATTCATCTCCTACCTACTGTGCTAAGGAGTGCTTTTTCTTACAGAATTTAGATGTTTATCTTCACACATAAGAACCAAAATATCATCCTTGCCTAAAAAAATAAATCAGTTTAAAGACCTGAAATGTACTGAAGAGAATAATGATAAAAAAGTCAGTTTTAAAAATATCTTGAGTCTGAATGTCATTTCACATAAGATGTACTAACAGTTTCTCCTATGGTATACAGGAAGCACTCAACAAATGGTTTTAAAACCACTTAATAAGGGGTTTCAAGTAATAATAATAATAATAATAGCTAATATAATTGAGTACTGGGCATGTACCAGGCACAGTTCTATGTGTTTTTACATAATTAACTCACATGGTATTCACAACTCCACGTACGGGAAGATGAGGTACAGAGAGGGTAAGATCACATAACTTTACACATCTCCCTAAATCTAGAAAACCTAGTTACATTTAAACTCAACTGGATACAGCTCAGGATTTGAACTGAGGCAGTCTCATTCCAGAACGAATACTCAGAACTATTCACAAGGACTGTCTTTTTCATAACAAGATCTGCTAAAAATATTATTAGAATCCTGCTTCTTAAAAAATTATATTAGACATTAGATAAGTTCTACTTAACATTAAGCAGGCTAGGGAACATCACAGAAAAACACTCAAAGTCAAAATTATAGTACAGCATACAATTTTTTAGATCTTTAGATTCAAGCATTAAGTTTATGCTGTCTCTCAAAAGGATTGAATTAGCTTTGAGTTCATTGTTAACAAGCTGCTGGAAATAAAAAATATGATTGGCAGCGTATTTGTAAAGATTACCCTAAATAGAATATTAAAGTAATTTTAATTCAATCTGTGGGGAAGATAATGATAATGGTTATTAAATAGATCATTGTTCTCATTCTATTCCCAATAATGGAGCCAAGAAAAATACCTTTTTACTCTCATGTTTTTAATCTTGGAAGCTTCAGTGAAGTAAATCACATGCAAATTCTCCAGAGGTTAATGTGCCTTCCAGAACAGCATTATGATTAAGCGCCCACTGGAACATGATGCTATTCTAGAGACTATAATTATAAAACTAAAATGTCCCAGAATGATAGATAGAAAAAGACAGTTTAACAATTGTCCTTTGCCATCTCTAAAAAATGTTTAAAACTTAATGATTCACTCAGGATGTGACCACAAAGTGCAGATTCACATATTAAAAAGTAAGCACAGTCTGCAGCAGATAATTTTGACACAAAGTCTAATTTTACTTCAACTATTTAGATAATCGAGGGCAAACGTCTTCTCAGAGTTAATTTTCTTCAGAATGTGTGGCCAGTCCAGCCTCCTCTCACTACTCTCCCCACATCCACTCCTTCCCAACTCTGTGCCTCAACTATTCCAATATTTCAAATATTCCCTGTTCTCTCTCCTTTCACGTGTGATCGCTCATCTACCCAACTGGTCTTTCCATACCAATGTTTCTCAACATCTTTTTCATCAGTGCCCCCCCACCTCAGGAGACAATTTAGAGATTTGTTCTAATCATCTCCTCTACTTCCTCACTGAGCATTAAGGAATACAATATTGTCATATAGAGTTGAACTCCACATGGTCATAACATTGTAATAGCTGAGTTTTATTTCACCTGCAAGCACCAATTTTCTCTCCCTTTGGGGCAACAATATCCCTGTTGAGAATCCATGTTCTATACTCAGTCTAACCCCTGGTCCCCACGACCCCATCCCTGTACTTAGCTCACAACTCCTATTCCACCTGCCACCTTCAGTTCCCAAATTAGACTTCTTTCCTCCAGAGAGCCTTCTCTGATAGCCCAGGTCAAAGTTAGGCACTTCTCCTATTAAATGGAGTACTTCTCAGGATCTACTACATAGCACTATAATTTTTCTGCTTGTCTGTATCCTTCCTTACTCTGTAAGTTCTATGAGAGTTATTGCTAGATTGTTCACTGACGGGGTTATGTATTAATCAGGATTCTCTAGAGAAACAGAATCGATAGGTCTGTCTGGAAAAAGTTCAATCATTGATAATATAATGAGAACAGTTTGTGCAACATCGATGTAACCTGGCAGCCAAGGAGAGTGGACTGGAATGTGCATGTGTGAACACTGATGACTCCACTGTACTAGTCAGTGGGCACAGTAGATGCCATTGAGTGAGCATGTGTACTGTGTGACCGTCACATTCAAAATGACTGAGTGAGTAGAGCAACGAGTCTGCATCAAACTTTGCATGAAGCTTGAACATTCCTCTGTGGAAACTATTTGCATGACTGCAGAAGGCCACAGCTATGGGCAACTGGTGATTCGCAGCTTCATCATGACAATGTGCTCACACACACATCACATCTCATGCAGAGTTTTTTTGGTGAAACATCAAATCATCCAGGTGACTCAGCCCCCTACAGCCCAGATTTGGCATTCTGCAACTTCTGGCTTTTCCCAGGACTAAAATCACTTTTGAAAGGAAGAGATTTCAGACCGTCCAAGAGATTCAAAAAAATATGAGGGGGCAGCTGATGGCAACTGGGAGAGCTGTGTGAGGTCCTAAGGTGCCTACTTCGAAAAGGACTGAGATTAGTGTCCTACATACAATGTTTCTTGTATCTTGTTTCTCCTTCAACAAATGTCTGTTTTTCATACTACATGGCTGGATACCTTCTGGACAAAACTATGGGTTCTGTTTCTCTAGAGAACCTATAGTAAGAAATTGGTTTATGTAATTTGTGGGGATTGGCAAGTTCAAAATCTGCAGAACAGTGTTGCAGGTTGGGGACCCAAGGAAGAGTTGAGGCTGCAGCTTGAGTCTGAAGGGCAACTGCAGGTGGAATTCCTTCTTCCTGGGAGGTGGAGGAACAGACCTCAGTGTTTTGTGTCTTAAGGCCTTCAGCTGATTCGATCAGGCCCACCACATTATGGAAAGTAATCTGCTTTACTTAAAGCCTGCTGATTTAAATGTCGATCTCCTCTGAAAAATACCTTCACAGAGACATATGACTGGTATTTGAACAAATCTCTAGTCCTGTGGTCTAGCTAATTTGACACATAAAATTAACTGTTACAGTGACCAACATAGTACTACACCTGCCACACAGCAAGTTTTTAACAAGTATCTAATGGATGAATGAAAAACCCATATATCAGGAGTGAGCTTATGGTGTCACTCAGTTTCAGTTAGATACTTATAGTGTCAGTTAGCTTAATTTATGCTTCAGTAACAAAGGACCCCAAGGTTGTGGTGGCTTAAAAACCATAAAGATTTATTTCTTTTTCATGCTATACCTACACGGAGGTCAGCTGCTGCTCTGTTCCATGTCACTGTCACTCTGAGACACAGGCCGATGAAATAGCCTCTATCTGCAGTACTGCCAGTTTGACAGCAGAGGGAATAAAATTCTTACATTCTGCTCAGATGTACACATGCTACTTCGACTCACATTTTATTGGCTAAAGCAATTTCATGACTAACCCCGACACTAACATGGCAGAAATGAAGTCTGGAGTTATAATGAGATGGCCAGTTGTGATGGATTGAATTGTCTCTCCTGAAAAATTCATATATTAAAGACGTAACACAAATATATTAGTACATGAGTCATCTGGACATAGGTTCATTGCAGTTGTTATAAACAAGGTCAATCCAGTGTGACCGATCCAGTGAGACCGACGTCCTTCCAAAAAGGGGAGATTTGGCGACAGACTGGCACACAGGGACAATGCCCCACGAAGTCAGAGAGCGAGGTGATGCTTCTGTAAGTCATGTGACACCAAAGACTGCCAACAAACCGCCAGAAGCTAGTGGAGAGGCATAGAACAGAATCTTCCCCACATTCCCCTGAAAGAACCAACCCCGCCCAACGCCTTGATTTTGGACTTCTAGTCTCCAAAGCAGTGAGCTAATAAATTTCTGTTGTTTAAGCCACTTAGTCTGAGATGCTTTGTTACGGAAGCCTGACGAAGCTGATACAGTGGTGAAAATGGGTAAGACGTCCCACAACGTCCAAAGACATCAAGATCTACCAGTAGCTACAAACACAGCCTAAGAATTACTTTCCAGAATAAACCCAATATTAAGAAATTAAACATGGAATCCTATGGGGAATTAATTATGAGCCCCAGCTGTATAATAAGGCCTGTATAATTTAGGGACTAGATAATTCCATGAAGTGGATTCTGTTCCAAGACTAATACCTGGCATATATATATTATATATATATATATAATATATATATATATTATATATATACACTGTTCTGCCGTGTTATAAGTACAAAATGCTAGTGAAATAACAAGCATTTTTTTCAAGGCTGAAATGCTCAGTTCTGTCAAATCAGCATTAGGTGCCGACCCTGGCAGACGTGAGGAAAGCTGGTTGTTACCAAGTCTGTAACTGCTCACTGCAGTGGTGCTGGGACAAGGAAGTTTGGAATGAAGACAAAATACTACCTGTTCTTCTACGACCTGAGCAGACTAGAGTTTAGATTGTGTATATCATGAGGGCTCTGCCTGTAAGACCTGATGCATTCAAGTAGGATAGATCCAAGTATGAAGTCTTCTCACCTGGCAGGTTGAAGTTGGGGAAATCAAGGTTGTTGATATCCAGGAAGAAGGTGCCATGAGTCAAGTATAAGAAAGAGAAAATGCAAGAGAAGCCCAGAAACAGAAATAACACAGCGAAGGGTTGGTGAGGTGACGGCAGCGATCAGGGGTGAGGCCAGAGCAGCAGGCGAGCACCCGCGTCATGGGTGCCCCTTCAGTGCAGCACCTGGCTGCTGGGGCAGCCAGAACATCTGCTGTCTTCTAGCTCTAAGAATTAAGTACTTAT